TGGCATTCATATTAACCGCAACTTGTTTGTCGTTTTCGAATAATCGTTATTGATAATCAATTTTAAGACAAATTTACCTAAAATCAATGTTTTAACTTTCGCATTATTTACAAGGCAAACTGCTACACAAACAGGATAAGATAACATATTATACACGTTTTTTACCCAAATAAATATTCTGATAACACTGCTAACTAGCTAATTTCTCCCGAGTCTGGGAAATTCCATCCGAACCCCATACACCTTCCTAGCTTTCCGCGTATGCTAAGGATGTGCACATCCACGCTACAAAAGTAATTTTGTATTATTTTATATGATTACATGGTACAAGTTAATGCGGGCAGTGCTTAACTGAAGTGTTTTATGACAGGTTTGGGGTTGGGTATTGCTCTGGGTTGGATTTGTAATGGGCTTATAAAAAATTAGAAGCTAACACAAATCAAACTTACTATAACTGTACCAGTACATACTACTCGTAGACAATTTTATTTAAAAAAAATTTTTACTACGTTTACAGTTGATTTCAAAAAAACAGTTGAAAGTAAGTATCGAAGAGAAATTAGAAGGACGAAGTTGCTGGAACAAATATGTCCCGCGGGAGACATTAGTCGCAGTCTGTGGTTAACGTTTAACGAGTTATCTAACAATCCATCTGTCTAAAAGTTTTTCCTTATAAAATGATATATAAATTGTTGATATAGGCATTACAGATAATACTATATGATTCTGTTTATATGGACAGGAGACTTCTGCGGACTAACTTCCCGCATGGTTACGGCTCCGGACTCCAAATTTTGTGATTTAGTAGATATTTTGTGAAAGGTAACCCAATTGAACTTTTCAAATGTTTAAATATTTAAATAAAAAACATTTTCAAATGTTGCTAAGAAAACCTCAAAAGTATAAAATTAGCTTTTGAATTGCATACTGTTGATTAAAATATAACGAACACGGTAGGGATTAAAGTTCTAAAAACAGAGATAATCTGCATATACAGATATTTGACAAGGTTAGGGTTAAGTATAAAAATACATTATAATATTTAATTTACATTTAAATAATATAAAGCTGTAGATTTTACTAATTTTATATTTTTAGGCTCCAGCGGTTTCGGGTGGCTGCAACACATGCTACGACATTGCGTAGCCGGAGCTAACAATTCAGCAAAAATACAAATTGTTGCCGTTCGGAACGTCATACTGACCATATTGTTAACACTATACTCTAGCTTATATTCGATCTTATTGGACTATATACATCTGCCACGAGTGTACTAGATTGATTGGTTGACCATGCAGTGGCAGTGTAAAAATATCTACAACCCCATAACGTTCCTTAGGTGTCGTGCGTGGCGACAGAGGGAAACAAACCAGAAGATTTGCAGCAGCCTCTTCCTAATAACAAGGTTGTAACAAAGTCACGGTGTATATTAGGTTAGTTAATACCAGTGTTACCTCGTAGCCCTGTAGAAATATACGCCCTGCGCAGTTTGGCTTCCGACAGTATACAAATATTGTCTTCGTAGTCAAAACTCCAATTTAGAAACCAGCAAATCTAAGAAATAAAACAATTCGAGAACGTGTTACGGAGTCCATCAACACGCATTGGAACAGCATGGTGAACTAATTTCTTCATAGCCCTCTCAGAAATGAGAGCAGGCCTGTACGCCAAAGATGAGTAATGTAGACTGGATTGTCTTGGTTGCTGCGGTGGTCTAGTGGTCTTACACGCGGTTGCTGATCATGCGGTCCTGGGTTTGAATCCCGGGCCGGCCCAAAATCAGTTATTGGATTCTGTCAAGAAATTCTCAGTAGCAGGCCGGATTCAGTTGGTTGGCGGTGTCCCCCGTGCCTCGGAAAGCACGTAAAGCCGTTGGTCCTGCGTCTGTGTCGGATTATCGTACCATCGGATTATGAAAGTGAGGGAATAGAGAGTGTATCTGTGCTTGAGCATGCAGTATAATCCTGTCATGCGCTGTTTTTAGTCACATTATTATTAAAAAAGACTGTAAATTTAACTTTTAAATCTACATTTTATTTTTTAACATAACATCATCAGCATCTGTACTTTAGAACATGAAATTTCATTCACAGTAAAATAACGAGAAAATGTTAACATTTCGGTTAGGCTATTACAACGAATACCTACTTCAATTAATAAAACTTGCTAAAGTTTTTGCTTCTACATTCTGAATATGGTAAAACTTAAAGTTAGAAGCAAAACCATGCAAACCGCACAACTGAACTTGGTAACAAATTTCACAGTTGTAAGTTTAAATAAAATTAATTAATGCCTTTTTACTATAATGTAGCTTAGGAGATAACCGCTCTCCATCGATTTTACAGTACGCGAGCAATCCGGGTTCGATCCCCGTCGGCGAAATTTAAAATGGTAATTGTTATTATAAATGTTGTTTTTCCACGTACTCGGCGGCGAAGGAAAACAATGTGATTAAAACCACATGTGTGACAATAAAAATATTTCGAGGACATGTGAAGTGCGCAAATAATTTTTATTCCTTTTTGACAAAAGTTTGGTGACAAAATAATTTGAAATTCTACATGTTAGCGTCACGCTGCAGCTATATTATTATCGTAGCACGAATGGGTCGGCTCGATCGGAGAACGGCCACGCTCTCACAGAATACCATTGCTAAATAATCGCTTAAAACTGGTGTATTTCTCTTATGGTGAATGTAGAGAACCGTAGACTTTTTATTGGAAATTCCATAATAGTCAACAGGGATTGTTGCGTTTTATTGTAAATCGAAACGCAACAATGACAAATAGCCCGGGCCAATCAAAAAATTCGAATTAAAATAACGGTTCTAGACTTCTTCAGTACAAGATATCATAGTTTAACTTAACCCCTTTAATGTACATTTGTAATTATCTTTCAATATAGAAATCTTGTTTTCATCCTTTAGTTCTTGAATTATACGCATTTAATACAATTAAAGTCAAGATTTTTATTTTGGGAATTCGACTACGTCATTTATTATAAACATCAACCAAGAGCTCTTGCCGCATCCACGCAAATATATGGTCCTTCGATTGTCTATAAGACAACCAGCTAATTAAAATTCAAGAATTCAGAGTAATCCAGGTCTTCAGATCTCAGGCGCAAAATTAGGAAGTCGTCGTCTACGAACCTTCCATACTCAGCAGCAATTCCTATTTTTGCAAGCAGACTTTGTTCAAGACCGCACTCAATTCGAAGCACGAAACCGTTAGAAGATCATCAATATCAACTGAGTGAGTCCGTTCCAATAGTTATTCCTTTTCCATTTTTCTATAATTCCCACTTCCTATAATTTAAACAGTTTTGAATTTATACAAAAGCTATGCGAAATTGAGTTGCTGGCATCTGAATTGGAGTATCGTTTACGTCGAATTGATGCGTTATATAGTGATTACGATGCGTTACAGGCCAACATCGAGCTACAGTCCGAACAACAAGAGACTAACGACAACCAACATAAATTGTTATGTTTTACCACAGATCTCTCAGTCGTTACCATCATGTTATATACATAATATCCATATACCAAAAGAATACATTTAGCGGATCCTTCCTACAACGTTCCTTCCGCAATCTATATCCTAGTTGGAGCAGAGGTTTTTTGGGATGTTTTAGGTTCCACCCATATTAGCTTAGGAAAAAACCAGCCAAGGCTACATGAATCAAAGCTTGGTTGGATCATAACTGGCTGTATTCCTCAGCCTACTCAGGCAACATATTCTATCTGTCATTTTACTCACATTCTAACTTCTAACACTTCTAACATCAACTTCCTGAAATATCCTTACATACACAGATAAATACGCAAACAGACAATGTCATTTCTAACATAATCAATAAATCATTCAATTTCACAAAATTAATTAGAATAATAGCTTATATACAAAGGTTCATTAATAATTGTAGAAGAAGTAATATTCATAACACCAATTATTTTTCATGTTAAGCATTAAATTCTTCAAAATTAATACTAATACGTATAGCTCAAATGGAAATGTTTCCTATAGAATATGCTATTCTGAAGTCAGGTAATTCCCTACCTAAGAAAAACAGACTATTATCTCTTTCCCATTTCATGGATAATAGAAGTTTTATACGTGTGGGAGGTCGTCTTAGCAATTCGTACCACACTTGTGATATTAAGCACCCTATTATAATATGTTAAGTTCATGGTTGTATATGTTGTAATAGATCTAAAGCAACTTTCGTGCAGTCTACTATGGTTGACTTACCTTCCGATAGGACTCACTTAGAATTCCCATTTTTGAGCACCGGAGTAGATTATTGCGGACCTGTGCTGATAGTCAATCGTAAGGGTAGAGGCAGTACCTTAATAAAATCTTACATTTGTATTTTTGTTTGTTTAGCAGTGAAGGCTGTCCACTTAGAACTCGTCACGGATCTCAGGAAGGAGGCATATCTCGCAGCCTTAAGTCGTTTTGTAGCTCGACGAGGAAAACCACAGCACATTTATTCCGATAACGGTATCAACTTCGTGGGTGCCTGCAATGAACTCTCTTCCTTTATTAAGCACACGTCAGATCACATAACTTTAGACACCGCAAAACAAGGTATAGAATTTAAATTTATCCCAGGCTGTTCTCCTCATTTTGGCGGACTGCGGGAAGCTGCCGCAAAGTCCGTCAAACATCATCTGAGACGCATTATGAGCCTCACTCACTTCACATTTGAAGAGCTTTCAACTTGTCTGACTCAGATTGAAGCTCCAGACTTCTTACACCCTTATCATCCGATCCCACTGATCTAACATATTTAACTCCTTCCCATTTTCTTATTAGACGGTCAACTACCTCAGGTCCGTATACACAAATCGAAGACAGGCATATCCGCTAGCTAGATTTGCGCGAGTGGAAAATCTAATACAACATTTTTGGAAGCGTTTTGTTAATGATTATATTCATCTCCTACAGCAAAAGAAGAAATGGCGCATCTCTTGCGGGGATCTGACTATAGGACAAATGGTTTTGATGAAGGAAAACAATCTTCCCCCACTGTTATGGCTTCTGGAGCGCGTCACTAAACTCATTCAGGGAAAGGATGGTGTTGCGGGAGTAGCTGAAGTAAAGACCAAGAAAGGGCATCTTCTTCGAGCCTATAATCGCCTCGTGACACTACCAGTTGAAGCGGACTGGACCACTTCAAAGCCGGGGAGCATATTGCGTTTTATCGTAAATCGAAACGCAACAGTGACAAATAGCCGAGGCCAATCAAAAAATTTGAATTAAAATAACGGTTCTAGACTTCTTCGATACAAGATATTATAGTTTAACTTAACACCTTTAATGTACATGTAAAGAAATTACATTTCTTTAAGTTTTGTTATTGTTTATTAAATTCTTTTATGGTTAGTCGATAAAGCAGAAACAATTTACTTCGCTACTTGATAGATGGCGCTGTCAAAGTATTTGAGTGGACTGTAGATAAAGCAGACGGTTTCGAAGATGGCGTCAATAAAATGTTAAAATTGTAAAACACGTAAACAATCGGATAATAATAAAATAACTAATAAAGGGAATCGACAAGTGTAATAACTTTTAATGTCGTTTCTTTGTTTTTTCAGGTATGTTTAGTGATTATTGTAAGGTGTAGTTAAGTGAAAAATACAAAAGTACAAATAATTTATACTAATAAAACCTTTGTTTTTTCAGAGCAACACAAACGTTTATTTCACCGATTCCCTATAAATTACACGAATTGTCTTATATACATTTGTAATAATCTTTCAATATAGAAATCCTGTTTTCATCCTTTAGTTCTTGAATTATACGCATTTAATACAATTAAAGTCAAGATTATAGATATACATCACCCAAGAGCTCCTGCATGCGGCAAGAGCTCCAGGATCAGGATCTTGGGCATACAGGGATAAAAACACATTAAGAATTTTCGCATTTCAATTCTTAATCGAGGATAGATATAAATGTCTATGGACCACAGTATTCACTTACCATCAGGTGAACTATGTGTTTGTCACCCACAGTCTAAAATATATTTAAATCTATGTAAGTGGAATTTAATTCCTTATCATTTATCCTTTATCCCTTAAAATAATTTTTAATTTCAATTAAATTATAAATTTTATTATAATAAACTAATGATTTCTTATATTTACGCGAACATTACATTTTTAAATAAAACTAATTTTACGGATTTTATCGCTTATATTAACTTATTTTATATTCCCGACGTTTCGGGTGCTTTTCAGCACCCGTGATCACACGGGACTGAGGTGTTTGACGTCCTGATGTCATAATTAGACCGGCTACCTTCAGTTTTTTAATATTAATTTTTGGTTCGATTTACGCTAGATGTTTTAGTCATCCGAAATCCTGATAACACTATTGGCCATACTGTGTACAGGAAAAATACCCATACCATCCGATATTTAAATGGTGAATCGCACCATCATCCTTCACAGTTAGTTACCGTGGTAAAATCTTTGTTTCAGAGAGCACGAGGGATCTGTAACAGAAATCATCTGGCCGCCGAGCTTCAGCACGTCGAGCAAGTACTGCAAGACAACAAGCTTCGGGTCCCGCGCCTACGTCACAGTGACCGAGTGAAGCTAGCCACAGTCGAGCGTGTGCCTGCTGTACTACCCTATGTCAGAGGAGTCACAGACAAGGTTGGCTACAGCTTGAAGCGAGCTTTCATTAAAACATACTTCAAGCCGCTGAAGAAAATAGGTCAATTTTTACCATCTGTCAAGTGTCATATCCCTCTACAAGATGCAGGAGTGTACAAACTGGATTGTGAATGTGGTCTCTCATATATAGCACAAACAAAAAGATCTATAAAAACCCGCTTTAAAGAACATATAGCTGACGTGAAGCACCGACGTATCGGGAAGTCTGCAGTTTGTGAACATGTTCAAGATCGTCCCCGCCATTACATTAGATTTGATAGACCACAAATTCTCGCAAAAGAACACCGATTCCTACCAAGGATGATTCGCGAGGCTATTGAAATTAATAAACATCCTAATTTCAATAGAGAAGATGGATGGGTGCTGCCATCTGCTTCGGATCCCAAAATTAAGAAAATTAAATCCAAACCCAAGTATACCACTGCTAGACTTCAAGATACTGTAAGGTCATTCTGGGTAATTCGAACCAAAAATTAATATCGAAAAACTGAAGGTAGCCGGGCTAACTATGACATCAGGGCGTAAAACAGCTCAGTCCGCCGTGACCACGGGTGCTGGAAAGCACCCGAAATGTCGGAAATATAAAATAAGTTAATATACGCGATAAAATCCGTAAAATTTGTTTTATTTAAATATAATAAACTAGTTATTCGCCTCGCAGCGTTACTTGCGTCTACCCACGCTTATTATGAGATCACATATTTGCGTTTAATTTTAATATCACACGCGATAAAATCCATAAAGAATAAGACTTCTCAAATTGTGAAAACATCCGCTGTCACACCCGGACCTGGGGGCCCGTTAAAAGGTTGTTCAAAAAATCGCAAAATAAATAATTATTTCTTTTATTTCCAGAGTACTCTCAGAAATTTTCGAGACAATTACACCATAAAAAAAGTTTCATAAAAACCCTGTTTTACCCTCTTAGGCGTTGAGAGAAAAAGAGCTTAACCACTGTGTTTTTGAGTGAAATATAAGCGTTTGAACAACCTTTCAGCTGTTACAGGGAATTCCTTGAAAACATTTCTACGAAGTGTTAACTTTGAGCAAAAATAAAAAATAGAACTGCTACCGAGAGTCGCTCTCAGTTTTCTTTAAGAACTGTTTGAACAGGACATTATAGATTGCTGACATAGGCCACTTCACACTACTTTTGATGTATCTTTCTTGCTTTTAAGAATTTTTGGCTTTAACCTATTGATGGTATGCCGTAATTACTAATAGTAAGTTATGATATTTGTGTTAACATCGTTTCAGTACATTTTCTCACTCAGACCATTTCCGGAGATAAAACATGTACCAGCTTTCCCCGGACACGATTTAAAATTCTGTGCGGGTGCCCTCCGGACCACTTTTAATCCACAATAAATGCAAATAAACCACGTACGTATTGCAACTCTACATACTTACACGTACACAAACTACATACTATATATCTACCCAGTACGCAACTAACTTCGTACGAAAATATCTTGAGTAAGTCATGTCTGAGCATTTTAATTTACTGCATTTAGTGAGGCGCAGCCCCAAACTTCGCTTATCGATACAATCCACTCGAGAACATTTCTTCCTCATAGATTATCATGTGATTGTTCTTACAGCTTATGGCCGGCCGATTGCTACGTCAGCTTACTGATTCATAGGGTTATATCGGTTACTCTAGTTCTACTACGGATACTCTCATTACGAAGTTTATCACGCTGACAAACTCCAAGTGTAGCCTTTTCCATAGCTCGCTGAGCGACCTTGAGCTTCCTCATACAGCCAATAATGAAGGACCAAGTCTCAAATGCATATTTCATCACGGGCAACACGCACTCTTGTTTTCAATTTTTGAGGTATACATTACAAAGAGATGTATCGTTATCTCCCGAACGTTGTCCAGCCGAGTTGGATCCATCGATTGCAGCTTAATACTGCTGTGTTTCGTATGGTGAGTGTAGAGAACCAGATATCTTTTTTACTGTAAACGAGGCATTCTATCTTAGTCCTCAGGAGTAATTACGCATTTACATTTTGATACTTAATCAAGGATACGTGTGGAGACAGAGCCTCCCCTTACCATCAGGTAGACTCGGGCGCGCTCTCGTTAACACTCTTATCCTACTTTACTGAAGAGTTTAACTTTGTGTTATTTTATTTAAAATGGTAGTTTTGTTACCATAATATACATAAACAATCACGCTTGTAAACCAGAGGGCTCAGCAGAGACTAAGGGCTTCCATTTTTTTCGTTCCTGACACACCTCTCTCACCTCCTTTACATCCATATATCTACGCATACACGCTCGTCGTTTAAGGGTACTCCTTCTAATCTCGTCCATTTTCAATATATCGTCAATTTGGTCGATAAAATTTCGTCTAGGACATACCTTCCATTTTTCTCTTTCTGTTTCATTTTCTTTAAAAAAAAATCCAATTCTTTTTTATTAAAAGAACCTCATTTTGAAACTGAAATAAATTTAAAAAATAAATTACACAAAAGTTTTCATTTCTTACGTTGAAAGTTGTAGAGATTTCATTTCATTTACAGAAAATTAGTGACGTAATTGAGACATTTAAATTGTGAACCGTACATTACAATTCTAGTATGAGCGTGGTTAAAAAGTTTTACTTCTACTGTTTTACTTTTAAACTCATTTAATGAAATTCAAACATTAGTTCCATTGTGCTGTATTCGGGACAATGTTTGAAGTCAAACCAAATATATCATAATAGAGCTGGTTTTATAACTTTTCAGCGTTACTAAATCCACGTTATATTGTTACGTTACTTAATATTTGCTTGTAGTGATGGCGTGAGAGAATCCAGCGCCGCGATCCTTCCCGAGGGTGTCGTAAGAGTCGACTATTGTAAAATGCCAGAAGAAACTTATGACTTTAGCTGAACGCACATATGTCCGCGCCGTACGCGCCGTACGCGCCGAATTTTAGAATTCGTTGTATGAAATCATATGAAACCTCGCACACTACACCCGCACCGTACGCGCCGAATTTTATAAAATGCGGTAGGTATACGATATCGAAGGACGAATGCTGATGACGTCATATAACGCGGCGCGTTTGGCGCGTGTGGGTACTCAGTGTTGTGTAATGTTGCCAACTTCGTGGATTTTCCACTAAAACTGGTGGTTTCGACTTTTGTTTCGAATTATATTTTTTAAGTGTTAAGTGTACACTGCGGTTAGAGAAAGAAATTGAAATTCCGATAAACGTTGTGAAACAAATTGGTACAAATAAATTATATCAATCTAAAACCGACGACGATGGTGTCGACAAAAATAATTAATCTGAAGAAAACGATTTAATTTAAAATAGCAGTTAATTAAATAATATATTCTTGATGTTGACTTGTTAATTTCCTATTGTATCCTAAACCGATTTCGATGATTCTTTTTTTATTTGAAAGCTGGTGCTTCTCGTGAAGTCCCATATAAATTTGATTAAGGTCTGACCAATAGTTTTTGAGTTATTCTTAATAATATATATTGAAGTCGGTTGTACAATTATTTTTATTTTAATTGTCTTATAAAAATCCTTTGCTTTGACCACGGCATATTTGTAAAAAAAAGATCAATTAC